ATTTAATGCAGAATTAACTTTGGTCAATTTTTTACAAATTCTACTCTTGTTGCAGAACCACTATGCAATGATTTGGATGAAACTAATAAAACTAACATTTTGGAGAAACAAAAAGAAGTCCTTTCCTTGGTAAAACAGCAAATAGATGAGGTACTAAATCCAAGTAAATCTAGCTATGATTCCTCACTAACTCAGCATGATATTTTCAACTCTGTTGGTATTACAGAAGAACAGTATTACTCAGCACTAGCTGTTTCACCAGGCTCTAATTATGAGTTCTCATTTAAAAAGACCTGTATGCCTGAACTCCGGCTAAGGAAAGTTTTCCCTGCAACATTATTTGTTGAGACTGACTTAACAGACAAAAACAAGAACTTAATGACCTAGATGATGACAGTACAGAGATATTCTAATCCAACGTCATTGAATGCTACTGTATTAGCCCAGCCCCTATTCCTGCTGTAGATAACCTTAGTCTCACACAATTTGCAGCTTATTACTACAAGGACTATAGAAAAGAAAACAGTGAAACTATTGATGCACAACCAGAAGTGCTTCCAGATCACATTTTTGAAATACAACATAGTAATAGCAGTTTTAGTGATTCATCATATTTGCCTAAAAAGATATCATTGATGAATACTAATGAAACTATGAAAAGTACAAAAGTCAAAGCCGTTATCAGATATCATAGACCAATTAAAAGAAAACAACCTGAACTGTTTTTTTAATTTCCCATGCACGAGATTACTGTGTGGTGGATGTCCTCCCCTGGGATGGGATGGGTGGCTGTAAGATTGGCCCTGAAAAGCCCCATGGATGTGGGAGTGGTCAACTAATGTATGTATGTATCTACTTATGCTATATTACCTACATCCTCCGAGACCCAGGGACTGAGTCAATTTCAAGTTAGGGCAGGAAGAGCCCCTGGGGACATTGCCTTACAAAACTAGTTCCAAACGGTCGCAGTCGTTCTGCCAGCTGATTGGTGCCAGAAAATCTTTGTGTTTTTTCTGCCCAATCAGAGTGAAGTGAGCTTTAGAGTTCTTTCGTGTGTTTTAACATGGACATATACTAGTAGCTGAGTTGCTAACTATGTTTGTTTGCTAACTCGAGTCAGGGTTTCAAGTCTTTGTTTCCTCGACAACTTTTGGCCACAGATCGTTCATTTGTTGTACGTTCGATTCTTCTCGATTATTTTTGCATAAAGTGAGTTCACATCATTATTTATATCATCTTCAAAAGATGGATCCAAGGATAATCCATCGTCCACAAGCTGCGAACCGTTCAGAAGAATGCCACAG